CGCATGAATTCGTGGGCATCCTGCTGCTGGTACCCCCTTAATGTAAAAACATCAGACACTATAGAGATTGCTTGCTGACGTTTGTTCATGTTGCGGCAAAGCTACATGTGGTTACTCAGACAATTCCAAGCACATTGGCAACATTCAAAGAAAGACAAAAACACAGGTCCCTCAAATGACCAGAACAAGGAGAATGAACTCTTGGTTACCTGAGGCCCATCTGGCCGTGGCAAACACTGCTCTGATTTACTAATTCACACATCTTTCTTCAAATGGTCGAAGGGGGCCTAACTAACTGACAGGCAGGAACAAGCATGCACACAGGTGAAGGAATCATTCAGCAAGCATTGTCTTGCCACTGTGAAATGCACCTCTTTCTCAAAGCCCTGCTGTTCTACACCAAAACCTCAGCAGAAAGTGAAGGGGCTTCCCTTGGCTCAATCCTCAATTGGAGTTGGGAGGGGAAAGAGTTCAGGAGTACCACAGTCAGTGCCAAAGAAAATATTAAATGACTTTAATCGTCAGGGCCACGGAGGAGTTGGAGATTATTATTATTTTCTGTCTCTCTGTTTTGACCTTATGGAACAAAATAAAGATTGGAGAGAAAAAAAACAAAAAACCTCCTGTCCCTGTTTCATTTAACCCAGGTAATTAATTTTCAAGATACAGGAAAGACATTAAAAGGGGGGAAAAACAACCCTCTATGTGACATTGTTAACAAGAAAAGGCTCCAGGCACTGTGTTCTGTGATGTATAAACTTGCTTGTAGCCCCACAAAAATGGAATGGATTTTATTTTTAAAAGCAAAGCAATCCTACAGACTCTTGTGGGATGAGACCTCATTCCCGCACTCAGGCCCTATACTGGGAGCCCTCCATCTCCTGCCTATAACCCCGCCACCAAAAGAACACAGCCATGTGCCCACACATGTTAATGCAAGAAAGCAGAGCAGGCATGACTTTAGCTGCAGCAGCCAGCATGATAAGCAGAATAACCTACAGGAAAATGCAGGCAGAGGTTTGGTGGGCAAGCGGTAGGGCCCAAGGGGTTTGACTGAGAAACAGGAGTAGAAAAGATTGACTCATCGGTGCATGGGGCAGGCGCTCTGTGGGGTATTAAGTAACAGCCCTGAGTATTTTACTAGGGATCTGAGGAGTTCATGGACTTGGATGCGGAGGCAGTGGAGTGGTGAAAGATAACCAGGGCAAGGTGGAAGGGTATGTGAAGGATAGGGATGAGGGCATTCTGGATGCAGCATCGGTGGCTGGACACCAAAATTCCAGACCGGCCATTTTAGAGCCACAATCCACAAAGTTAGCATTGACAAACATGGCCCCTATGGCTGCTAGACTTCCACAGAGGGCACATCCTCATCTTTTATCCAGCAACCCTTTCATCAATGGCTACTGTAGGCAGCCATTTTGAATTTCCAACTCTCTTTTTGCTGGCTTATTCAATGCCGTTCCCAATGCAACCATTTGTGGTGGCAGCCCCATCTGGTAGTGAATGAACGCCTGCAAAAAATGCCAGCGTCTGCAGTGCTGCACAGGTGTTCATAGTTTACATAATCTGAGTTTCACAATTTGTAATTTAGAATGTTGCCACCTTGGAAAAGCAAGATTTGTTCCGTTGAAGTATGTTATATCCATCCATCTAGACTGGGATCTGATACTGAAAACCAAACAAGCCACTCAATGAACCAGTAACACAGCCATATCTAAATCTGAATGACTCTCCAGTCACCACATTCATTTTTTGCCATTTTGATAACAAAACCAGCTCTTTAAAACATTCTTCAAGCAGCCAATTTGAAATATAATTTGACATCCTATGCTGGTAATGTGCAAATATTTTAATTGTCTGTGCAAAACAGGGATGAAGTGGCAAAATTGTTTAGAAGAGCTCCTCTGAGCACAAATGTTTTAAAAATTTTAGTATCAGGGATGAATTAAGTAACACCACTTGAAAAAATGCCATCCAGAGCCTTTGCCTTCCATCTGTGGCTGGTTCTCTGCAAAGGCTTCCAGATGAAAACTCCAGAGAAAATCTCCTCTTAGCCCAACTCTGGCTGGTGAATGGCAGCAGCATCCAATGATGACTGGCACATCATTATTTGTGGGCAACAACAGGGCCAACCCTACAGGCAGGTCTCTCATCATCACCTGATTTTCCCACAGACACAATATCCCTCTGTGCATCCAGCCAGTTTGTGAGAGAAATCAAGTGATGTAGATACATGTAAGAATCAGCAAAGACCAGAAGCAACAGCAATATCCTGCCTTGTGCAACTGCCCAACAATGCTCAACATTTGTCTGTGAAAAAGAAGCAATCTGAGCACATGGGAGCAGGGGCTATCCAACCCCTGTGCCTCTCAGCACCCAGCTGCTAGGTTAGGCAGTCATTCAACTACACGGTGCTCAAAACACGATGGGTGGGTGGTGTGTTCTGCCCTCTGTGGAGAGAATGAGATACAGTCTCCCTGATCTGAAATGCTTAGGACCAGAAGTCTTTTGGATTTTGGAATATGCATGAGATATCTTGGAGATGGGACCCAAGTCTAAACATGAAATTCATTTAAGTTTCAAATACACCCTATACACATAGCCTAAAGGTAATTTTATACACAATCTTTTAAATAATTTTGTGTATGAACAAAGTTTCGGTAAGTTGAACCATCAGAAAGCAAAGGTGTCACTCTCTCTGCCACCCATGTGGATAATTTTAGAGTATTTGGGATTCTGCAATTCCAGGTAAGGGATACTCAACCTGCATTTCCATCCTCTCCCGTGGGGAAAAAATGGGGGGGGGG